AGAGACGACCGAGGCCCCGCCCTGCCCGGGAGACCCGGTGTGGCCGTTCCACCCCAGCCGACCACCACCCGGTTCCCTCAGCAATTTGTTCCCAGGCAGCTCAGTCCCGGGAGGGTGAGGTGGCGACACTGGGCCACAGGGTCCCCGGGTGGCGTGTCTGGCTGCTGACCCCACCCACCGCTTTCTGGCCCAGCAACAGCCCCAGTCCTGCCCCACCTCCAGCCAAGGACAGCCCTGGAAGAGGCTGAGGGGTGTCCGCTGCCCAGAGCACCTTCGGTGGGTAAAGGGCACGGAAGGGACAGAGTGAAGTTTCAATTTGCCACCAAACCCCACAGAACAGAGCGCGCATTCACCTGCCAGCCCGGGATCCCCCAGGGCTCAGAACAAACGGAGAGGCTGAGACCAACGGGCGGGCAGGGACCCCAGAGGCCCGTGTGGGTCCTGGAGACGAGGAGATCGGGCCCCTAGCAGCCCCCTGGCTCACCCAGGGGCACGGGGACGCAGGGACACATCACAAACACCTCCCGGTGGGCCCAGCTGTGCAGGCCGCAGCTCCGTGTGGCCAAAGCCATCCAATGGGAAGAGTGTGTGAGCAGAAGCGTGCACACATCCAGGCCCTGCACACTCGTGTGCGCACCCCCGCCCCCCCAACCGCGCCAATTTCATTTCGCTGCTTTCTGCCACATTTCGCGCTCACTCAGCTGCCAAGTGCCACAACTGCTATGTAACTCCAGGGTGCCATCTCCCCGTGCGGGAGCCGCGGGGGCACGACTGTGAGCCTCGGAACACCTCACACTGGGATCGGAGGAGAGGTGCCCACGAGTCCCCTGCCCCACCCGCCTGCCGTGAGGGCGTCCAACAGCAGGGCCACAGTGCTCGCTCGACCCTCGGAGGCCGGGTGCAGCCCTCTCTCCGGCGTCTGCTGCCTGCCCTTGGGGGCACCGGCCATGGTCTCTGCTCCGGGCTCTCCAGGCCTGGGCCCGCCCTGACCCAGGCAGAAGTCCCAGGGAGCACTTGGCCGCAGACCTCACCCTTGACAAGGGGCCGCCAGGACAAAATGGGCTGCCTTCCCCAGCCCCCGCGTCCATTCTACAGATGCACACTGAGGCTTGAGAGCCAGACAAGGGCCCCCAAACACACAGCAAAGAGAGGACTGGACCCCTGGCGTGTAACCACCAGCCCAGCAACAGGACACAGGCCTCCACGAAGGTGCTGCCCCTGGTCCCTCCCACCCCCGGGGACGGCGGGTCATTCCAGAGAGAGCAGGTGCGGGGAGTAAGTGACAGAGTGGCATGACTGGGGGGGGGGAGGGGGAGAAGGAGGGAGGAGGCTGGAACTGACTCGCACAGGGCATAAATGCTGCAGGCTGGGGTGCACAGGGGAGGGCATGGACAGGAGGGACCAGCCCTCCCCCCCACCCCTTCCACAGCATTCCTCAAATCCACCCGCTTAGTGAGTTTCTGAACAAAGGTCGGGAAGGGGATCCCCAACAGGCACCAGCTCACCAGTCAACCACGTCTGAGCGCACGCACACCGGGAAGCACCACCAGCGGCCAGTTCCCATGGGAACACACACCTCAAAGCCCTGGCCACGGAAGCCCACTACAGAAGACACGCCGGAGCCAGGGGAGAAGGGAAGAAGAGGAGGTCTCTGCTTACAAAGCCTCAGCCCGATGACGGTGCCCGGGGACCGAGCCAGCTCAGTGGCCCCTGCCGTGTCCCATGGAGAGCAGCAGAGCTGGGCCCAGGGGCCTCTTGCAGAGGACGGGCCTCACTTGCCACTCGGGACCACAGCCCTAAAACACACCAGTGTGTAAAGAGCCCATGCAGCCCAAGATACCAGAACTCCAGGGCAGCTCCCACGGGGTCTGGGCCTTCAAGGGCTTTCAGGAGGCCACCCTGCAAGTGCGACCCAAGTCTGTGCCACCTGAATCACTTCGGGGCCACTCTCCTGACCCCAGAGCCCCTGGCATGCGTACCCGGTCCCGCCCAAGCACCCACTCCCTGCCCACACTGTTCCACAGCAACTCCCTCCTGCCTCCCCAGGAGAGGAAACAAAAGGGCGTGAGGTGGAGACCAGGGAGAGCAGGCAGAGGGCTTCCTGGAGGAGGCTCAGTTCCCCGCAGGCCCTGAAGGACACACACAGCCGGAAATACTGACCGAGCTCCCCGGCAGCCACCGTGTGAGCAAGTCTGCTGCCTCAACTCTGCCTAACCCTAGCTCCTGGCCACCAGCACTCCCGGCACGGCCCTTCCCGGGGCCAGCCCAGGCCCCCATGTCTGGGCAGAGGGGGTCAGGGCTGCACGCCAAGCCCAGGCACGCCAGCTAGATCCGGGCAGGCACGCAGGCGGCAAGGCCTCGGCCACGGCCGGGCCGCACCGGGGGCTGTTTTTCTCGCCCTGACGCTCCTCCTGTCAACATGGGCCCCTCTGGAGTTTCCCAGCAGTCGGCAGTGCCCAGGCCCAGAACTGCCCCGGCAGGCCGGCCTCCAAGCCCGGACTCCCAAGAGTCATGTGACCCTGTTATTTCGGGAGGCCCCGGAATGCACTCTACTTTGGGTCCCTCGGGGCTCTGATGTTACCAGAAGCCCCTCACCAGTGCTCCAAGCTCACTCGGGTCCCCAAGGGTCCCCCAGAGGAGGGCCAGGGGGCCTACTGCTCTGCTCCTGGCCGCCCCATCCCCCCAGGCAAGTGAGCCTCTACTGGACCTGCGGGGTCTGGCCAGGCCTGAGACCTCCGGGCAGCCTTTGCAGGCCCCCCCACTGCCCAGGTGGGTGCCAATGCAGGCCTCCTCCATGGGTGTGAGGGGCGCCGAGGAGGGGGGGCAGGACGCAGGGGCTACCCTGGGCCACTTACTCGGCACCAACATCTGTACCTTGGGCTCATCCTGACCTCCCACCAGGCAGCTCAGCGGGCAGTAGCTGGGGGACTCCCAGGAAGGCCAAGTGCCCGGACCCACCAAGCCCAGAGGCAGTCGGGGCCCGCCAGGGAACGAGGCAGGCGGTTCGACCTCCCGGGCAGTGCCAGGGCTGGCCCGGGCTGCCAGCCGGGCCCTGCACGAGCGTGCGGGGCCTTCACACACACACACTCCCCCACCCCGGAGAGGGATTAGGCCGTGTTTACAAAAGAGCTCCGGCGAGTAGCTGCTTACACGGACCTTCAACTCCACCGCACTTCAGAGCGGGCCACAAGCTCAGAAAAAAAAATAAAATGTCAGGACTCTCCACTCAAGCCTGGGGCCTGGGCTGCTGGGCAGGCCACCCAGCCCGGTGGAGGCAAAGCCTCGGAGTGTCTGAGGGGCCCATCCAGGTTCCGGGGGCAATGGCTCAGAGGCAGGACCTCGCCTTTTCGTGGGGATTCAGCTCAGCAACCCTGCAGCCCGGGCCCTGGACCCTCCCAGGATCCGGCCAGGGCCCTGGCACGTCAGGGGCGGGAGACAAGCCAGAGCAGAGCAATGTTGCTCCAGAAGGGACCCTCTGGGAGAGCCCAGCTCTGTGTGCATGTGTGCCTACGGGTGTGCAAAGCTTTCACGGGGGAAAAGGAGACGCTGTCCTTCCTCTTCCCCACACGCTGCCGCCCACCGTCTAGGGGCTCAAATCCAAAATCCCACCGCATTGTATTCTGTGGTCTCAGCTTCTCGAAGCCAGTTTTCTCATCTGCAAAATGGGCACGAGTGCCCCTCCCTGGGGGCTCTGGGGAGGAGCTCGGCGCCTGCACAAGTCTTCATCTTAAAGAATCAGAGACGGGTCTTCCCAGATCCCGACCAACCCTATTCCAGCGTCCCTGGAGCATGCCCTGTTTGTGAGTGGGCTCGGGGGTGTCTGGGGTGCTCAAATCCTCCCCCTGACACTGCGGGATTGGGGGCAGCTGCTGGCTCCCCTCCACCTCCCCGTCTCAGCAAACGTTCCCGCAGCTGTGCTGGGCTCAGACCGCCAACCCAGTGGCCAAACTGCGCCCCAAGCTGCAGGGGGGCGGGAAGGCAGGAGGGAAGACTGACCGAGGGGTTTCATTCATAATCAGCTGTTTTAATTTCCATTCAGCACAGATCCTTCACCCAGCCTGACAGCCTGGCTGCCGGCCCCACCACCAAATTAATATCCTTCCCTGCGCTCGTTCATAAAGTCTCCCCACCCCCTCCTCCCTTCCCTCCCTCTCACTGGCTCCCAAACCCCAGGGAGGGCAGCGGCTGGGGGCTCCCGGCCAAGCCCCTTCCTCCTCCTACGTGGGTCAGGGCCTGGAGTCAGGGCGGGGGTGGGGGGGCAGTCTGGGGCAGAGAAGCCACTGGGCGGGATGGCAGCAGGAGGGCAAGAAAACTGAGCCTCCGCGCCTCTGGGGTGTCCTTCCCCCAAGTGCAGGGCCAGCCCCCTCCTCCCCAGAACGCCCCCCTCACAACAGCCGGGTGCGCCGGAGAGAGGGGCCCCATTACTGGGATGGGGCCTTCCCGGGTCTGAGGTTCCCGGTGCTAAGGCCCCCTCGCTGACCCTGCCCACCCGCACCCGGGCCGCGCTGGGGGAGGAGGGGTCCCGCGCGTTTCAGGGCCGGCGGCCTGCTGGCCTCGGCAGCCCGGGCGGCGGCGCACAGGCCGTCCCGGTGCCAGGGCGGCCGCAGGCTGGGAGCGCACAAGTTGCTCCGCCCGCCCCGGCCCGGCCCCTGCGCAGCCCGGCGGGAGCTGCGCGCTCGGGGCCGCGGGCGGACCGGCGTAGCCCGGGGAGTGAAGGGCTTAGGGGTGGGGGGGGGGGCCGGGGCGGGACCCCCGTTCCCAGCCGCCCGCCGCCACCTCCTTCGCCCCGCCGCCGGCCCGCTGCCCGCTCCCGCCCCGAGACCGAGTGGCGGCCCGGCGCCCGCGCCCCCCGCCCCGGTCGGCCCGGGAAAAGTTGCCCGGCCGCCCGCCCCGGGCCGGCGCCCCAACAACTCGGCCAGGGCCGCGCGGAGGGGGGCGCGGAGCCGAGCGGCCGGGAACGCGCCCCGCCGCCCCGCCGGCCCGGCCCCGCGAGCACTCACCGAGCGGCAGGAAATGTTTGGTGTCCATGTCGGCGGCGACCGCGGCCGGCGGCGGGACAGCGGGCGAGCGCGGCGGCCCCCGGCGCGGCCGGCCGGGCCCGGGCGGCGGGAGCCGGCGGCGGCGGGGCGGCGGCGGCGCGCGGAGGCCGCGGCGCGGCGAGTTGTTGCAAAAGTCGCCCAACAATGTAAACTACTTGCGCTGCGCGCCGCCGCCGCGCGCCCGCGCCCGCGCCCCCGCCGCGCGCGCGCCCGCGCCCGCTCCGCTCCGACCGCGGCGGCGCCGGCGGGGGGGCGGCGGGGGGCCCGCGACGGGCGCGGACTCGGCGCAGCGCCGCCGCCGCCGCCGCCGCCGCCCCGCCCGGCGCGCGTCCCCCCCCCCCCGCCGCGGACCCCGCGCCCCTCGCCCCCGCGCGCGCCGGGCAGCGAGCTCGGAGCGGGCGCCGCGCAAACTTGCGAGTTGGCCGCGGCCGGGCTGCCGGGAGCCGCGCGGGGGCGGCGGGGGAGGGGCGCGCGCGGGGTTCCCTCCCCGCTGTCCCCAGCCCTCCGCGCGGAGGGGGGAGGCGGGCGGGCGGCGGAGCCCGAGGCGGCCCGGCCATTGTCTGGGCGGCCACACAAAGCGGCCGGCTGCGCCGCGCTCGGCCCCCGCCCGCCGCCACGTGGGGAAACTGAGGCCCGCGGAGGCCCGAGCTCGCGCTGGCGCACGGGCTGGGCCTCCGCCAAGGAGTCCTCCAGCTTCTGGACGCGTCCCCCGGCCGCCCCCCACCTTCCACGCCCAGGAGGAGTCGCGGCCCCCTGGCACACTCTGCCATGCCCCGCGGCCGGCCCCACCGGCCCCTGGGCCGCGCTGGGCTCGCGCTCCCTGCACGCTGGCCGGACTTCTGGGCCCCCACTTGAGAAGCACCGGGCTGGGGAGGAGCTGCCGTGAGTTGGGCGCTGACTTTGGAGCCGGTGGCCACTTCCCTATCCTGACTTTTAAATTTCGTGATTTGTTTGTTTAAAAACGAAACGAAGCACGCTGGCCCTGAGACTGGGACCGCTTGGCGCAGGACTTGGGGTGCATGAGTTATCTGCATGGGGAGACCCTCCCTGAGCACATGCAGCCCAGGGGCGCCCCCTCCCCACCAGCCCCCGCTAGCCTGGGGCACTGCTGCACGTCTTTCCGCGGAGGCGGAGGGGCTTACGAAAGCCGCACTGCCTGTGCATGGTGGTCCTGGGTCCAGGCGGGTGCTGATGTAGAGGGAGGTGATGACTGAATGTGGGTGGCCTTGCTGCCCAGAGAGACCCCAGCCCTTGACAAGGAGGGGGGGATCCTGCCTGGTGCGCCACTGCCCCCGCCACCTGTGTGACCCTGAGTAAGCCTTGGGACCCTTCTGGGCTTCAGCTTCCCTGCTGTGAAATAGGGAGTAACAGGCCCCACCTCCCACCTGACAGCCAGGAGCTGGGTCTCTGGGGGGCCATTTGGGCCTGTCCAGGAGGGACATTATGCTGGGGGCAGGAGCATGGCGTGGAGGAGGGGGTGGGGGGACAAGCACTGTTGGAGAGCTACCCCCACACCAGAGCCCCTGGCTGGCCCTGTCCCCCTGGCTCCTGCTTGACCCCCCCCTCGCCTCCCCTGCTGCAGAAAGCCTTCCCCCTTGCTGGCCCTCGAGCCCCCACCTGTACCTGTACCCCCAACCTGTGCAGCTCCCCACCTTCCCTTCAGCCCCAGCCTGTTAAACTGTGGCCTTCAGCCACCGTCTTCACACCCTTCCTCATTGCCTGGGACACAGCTTCAAACACTCACTTCCTCCTGCCAGGGCCGGGGGCAGGCCAGCGCGCAGGGAAAGCTCGGAGGAGCAGACGCAGGCACTGACACGTACGGAGAGGGTGCCATGTGCCGGTGCCGGTTCTCGGGCCTGCCTCCATCGCCCCCGGCGTGTCCCCGGCCATGCTACACGATCAGGTAGGTCCCGTCGGGCCCTGTCCTCCCGGCCTGAATCATCAGACCCCACCCCTCCCGCTACGGAAGAGGCCAGGCGCCCTTTTCTCGCAGGGACCCCACAGGGCACAACTGGCCGAGAAGCAGCTTCCCACAGCCCTCACTCCTTTGCCGGACAGAGTCATCCAGCAGCCCAGGGGCAGTGGACAGTACAAGTCACCTAACCGGTGAGGACATAAGGCTGAGAGAGGGGACATTCAGGAACGTGTCACACAGCAGTGAGGACGAAGCCAGGATTTGAACCCAGGGCCTGTCCTGGACTTTCTGAGCCAGTGAGGGCTCAAGGGTGCAGGCCCCACGGGCCGAGGTGACCATCAGTGCAGCTGCCTTCCCACCACGTCCCGTACAGACAGCCCACCCAGCATCCAAGGATCCGAGTCTCAGGACAGAGAGGAGGGAGGGGAGGGGAGTGGGGAGGAGCAGGAGAGAGAAAGGTCGATGTCGATCATCCATTCATTCCACAAACATCTCTTGAGTCCTCGGTCAGGTGGCAGTGTGGTCCCAGATGGACAGGCATGGGCCACATCCCAGCTCTGCCCCTTTCCAGCCGTGTAGCCATGCCTCAGTTTCCTCATCTGCAAAGCAGGGACAACATGGCCTCCCTGAGTCACCGCGATGATGAGGTGGCACCGAGTGAGCTCAAGCTCGGTGAGCTCGTTACTATTACTGCTGCCGCGGTTGTTACGAGGCGATGACTTAGGCCCTCTGGGAGCCCCAGCCCCGAGGAGGGACAGGACACGCCCACAGGGAACTCTCTTCTAGGTGCAGAGTAATGGGCATGCCGGAAGTGGCGTGGACAGTGACTGCGGGGCCAGGCCACGTGCAGCCAGGGGCCCCAGGCGCTTCCGGGTGTGCCTGGTCCTGCAGTTGGGTTTTGAAGGAGGGAAGTTTTCACCGGGTTGAGGCGGGGGTGAGGACACCCCAGGCGGCTGGACCGGTATGAGTGCTGGCCGGGAGGGAAGGTACTCGGCTCCTGGGAGGAACAGCAAGCAGCCTGCTCAGCGGGCAGGTCGGGACTCGCAGGGCGCTTGTGGGAAAGCCGGTCCTGGAGGCCTCGGAGGCTGGGCTCAAGCATCTGAAGTCACCTCTGACAATGGGCAGCCTGGCACCCGGGGCTCCCGGCCCCTCCCCAGCCCCACCCCTGCCACGGACACTGGAACCGTGGGGGCCTGCAGACAGGGAGCCACACGCAGGCAGATTTCCACATGGGCTCCCCACCCCAGGGAAGGCACAGAGGCCAGGAGGCGAGGGGTGTGGGGTCCTCTCTTCCTAAGAGAGATCCCAGGACGGGTCGACCAGCCCCAGCCTGTGATCACGTGGACGGTGGAGGGCGTGTGGGGTCCTAGGCCTCAGACCTGCTCGTAATCGGCCTCAGGGCCCACCGATGCGGGACGGACCAATGTGCCTTCGGCCTTGCCTTCTTGCCAAGGGGTCCTTGCGCGGGAGGCCCTGAAGCCACCGGCAGCGGCGGCAGCGGGGGCCGCAGCGAACCTGGCTCCTCGGTGGAAAATGCCGGTGCCCTCGCTATTTCTATTTTTCGCTGCCCTGGAACCGGGGCTCTTTGTGGAAAGGCTCCCACAAGACGCCGCCCGGGCCGGCGGCCGCCCCGTTCGGAGTAGCCAGGGCCAAGCTAACCATGGAAAAATCCGCCCCCAGTCTTCCTGCCATGTGCTCCTGCAGCCAAAAATGTTTTTATAGTAATATCCCATCTATTTACAACCTGAGATCTAAGAGGGTTTTGTTTTTTGTTTGGGGCTTTTTTTTTTCTTTTAAACCATCCCTGAAGGATGCTTTTTAAGGGACTTTGGCCTATTTCATGTCCCCGTCTCGGCAGAGTTTTGTAAACAGTCTCCGGAATCACTTGGTGAATAATATTTTTAAAGACCCACGTCTGCCGGGCTGGGGCCCCCGAGGCGGGTGTCTGGGCGGACGGCCCCCAGCAGTTCCCCGGACACCAAGGGGCACCGCGGCCGCTTCTGCTCCTCCCCCTACAGACGCCCCATGTGACCCTGCGCTGATGGCCAGCCGGACCTCACAGGGGCCTAGGCCTGTCCTCATGGGTGGGTGTCCTGCCTCTGTCCCCAAACTCCCAGCCCGGAGGGCCGTCTCCCACGGACTCCGCAGCCCGTCTCACGGTGACTCTTTGTGGTGACAGGTGACTCAAGCGGAGAGGGGAGGAGGAAGCCCAGGGAGGCAGGGGCTCACCCCAGATCACACAGTGAGGCCCGATGGAGCTCCCCTCGGTCACATCCTGTCTCTCCCTCAGTCTGGAAAGCTGCTTGTCCACACGGCCTCCCCCCCCCCCCCGTGTTGTGCTTAGTGGAGGGAAGGAGCAAGGAGGGGAGAAGATGGGAGGGGGGAGGGGAGAGGCGAGGCGGGGGGGGAGTGGAGGTAAGGAGGAGAGGAGGGGGGAAAGGAGAGGACAGAGATGGGGGAAGGTAAGTGAGGGGAGGGGGGAAGGGAGAAGACAGAGGGGAGGGGCGGGAGGGGCCTTCTGTGTCCGGGTTGGGTTCGGCCCTCGGTGAAAAGCCCACAGCCCCATAGTCCCCGCATCGCACCTGTCCACGGCTCCTGGCCCCAAAGGACCGCGGGCCTCGCACACCCCTACCAGGCAGACGGAACCCCAGAAAGAGAGGTTGGGTGCTGTGGTGAACCAGGTGCCCCGCCACGGACCTCCAGGGAGCCGAGGGCGGTTTGGGCAAAGCCATTTTGACTCAGGTGAGCCAGGCCTAAGGGGGGCTGGCATGGGGAGAAGGGCCAGGATGTTGGAGAACTGGTGGGTTCCTTCCAGGGCCTTCCAAAGAGATGCTCCGTCTGGATTCCGAGGCTGCCTGGGAGCAGTCCCAGCTGCCTGGGAGAGGTGGGGGGCGGGGCCCGCGATTCCATGAGGTCTGAGTCAGGAGAGGACACCGGTGCTTCCTAGGTGGCCCTCGGTGCCAGGTCTGCGCACCCCGCCGGGCCCTGTTTCCTCCAAGCACCCGGCCCTGCAGACCACGCCTCCCGTTTCCCCCATTTTGCAGATGGAGACACTGACGCTGAGGGGAGCCTGGCTCCAGGCTGTGCGGGGGCTTCGGCACCAGGAGAAGCCTCGGGGCACAACCACCAGCTTTGGCCCCCTGCCTTGAG